ATTTAATTGCATCAATAAAAGATATTGATACTAATTCTTTAAAATTCTCTTCAGAATCATTATTTTCATCAGCATGTATCTCCTCTTGAACTAATTTTATAATATCATTATCACTTAAAAGATCCTTAGTTAGAATTTCTTCTTCTAAATCTTAAAAGAAATCATTAATTGCATTTTTTAATAGAGAAACATGAAGGTCATCAAATTTATTAATTATTTAATTATTTCTGTGTTTATTTTTTCTTAATAGGCTTTTATTGCATTATCTATATCTTCATTAGTTGAAGAAGGTAATATTCCAGTTTTATTCTAACAATTACAATTATTTCTTCAGTTACATTATGCTATATATTTACTAAATATTCAATAGCTTCTTTAATATTAATATTAATTCACTTTATTAATATTTTTACCTTTTTCAAAAAATTGTAACATATGATGATAATAATATCATTTAAAATGATTTTTAAACTTATGATAATTCCAGTATTGAGAGATTAAAGATGACTTATAGTATTTGGTGATAGGAAGACCACTTTAACATATGTAAGTTGAAATTAATGAGTTTTTGGTAAAGTAGAATCATGTATTCTTGAAACTCAATTTCTTTTATAAAAAGTATTAATTTAGTAAGTTACTATAATTTACTTTTATATTAAAAAAAATTTATATTTTAACTTATCACGTCCTCTTAAAGTAGAATCTGAGTAGAACTTGAGAAAAATTACATTGGATATTGAGTTTTTATTAAAAATTACAATGATTTTAAACAATTTATTTTAAATCCTGATGAAATTAAAAAGTTGCAATTGATCACTTTCAAAATATTGCTTTACTCTTAACCCTTCTAGATTTTTAGATGATAAATATATCACTTAATATCAACTAAAAGATTATGTATCTAAAAGCATATATGATAATCTTATGCAACCTTTAATTTCTAATGAATGGTATTCTGTTCTCTCATATTTAGCTAAAAATAAAGCTCTGGACCTTTAAAAATTTATAATAAAATGTTTTAAAATTTAGGAAATAAATTCAAATACTTAATTTAGTAATAATTTGCATATATATTATAATTAGTGATATTCTTAACATATGAAAAATTGCATATGTCTATCCAATTGCTAAACTAATAAAATAGGAATGTGTTATTATGAAAACTTGTCTAATTACTCACTTTATTAGAAATCTTACATAAAATATTCATAAAAATTATTACAAATAGACTTTCAAAAATTCTAACTAAATACCATATTCTTAAAGGAAACAATTTTGCTAGATTATTAGGAAACTTTACAGAAAAACTATCATAATTTTAAATATGTTATTAGAAGATGCAAATAAAAATAAAAAAGCTTTGGATTTTATTGTAAGATTTCTCAAAGGTTTATAATTATATAAATCTCAAATTTTTTTATCTTGTCTTTCAATATATTAAGATTTTAAATCGATGTATTGATTTAATTATTAACCTCTTCACTAATAAAAAAAATGCCATTTTCACAACTGATAGGCTTACTGATTATTATAATATAAAATTAGTATTGATCAAAGAGAAGTTATTTCTTCTTTATTATAGTTTATTTATCTAGATCCACTCCTATGTGAAGTTGGTAGTTTAAATAAAAGATACAATATATTACATATTTGGACTAATATTATTATCAGCAACTCCACTATGACTTATCTGAATCTATATCTTTTTTGACCTTTATAGATGATACTAACTGGATTACTGATTTCTAATAAAATCTTAAAGAAATCCTTATAATAGTAGACGATTTTTATAATTTAACTAGAGCTGCTTTAAACAAATCCAAATTAAATCTCATTACGATCAAATTATTTGTATTACTAACTATTAATATAAACTTTGATTCTTCTATTGTTAATATTATACCTAGTATTTTGCAAAAAATCTGGTTCAATTTGAATTCAATTTGGATATAACAGATCAGATTGAATCAGTTTTATTGAATTCAAATTAGATTCAAATCCTAATTTGGATTTGATCTGATCTGTTAGATTCAGATAAGAGTCAAATTAAATTTAATTAAATCTGACAGATTCAGATTTGAATACAGATTCGATCTATAAGATTTAGATTTAAATTTAGATCTAATCCATCAGATTTGAAATATTATTTTTTTAAATAATATAATCTGCTCCAAAAGTTGGAGATGGTATTATTATTAAAAAAAGTATAAAATCTTATTTTTTTAATAGTGCAATCTACTCTGAAAGTCAGACTCAGCATTTATAATTAAAAAATAAGAAAAACTTATTTTTTAATAATGTAATCTACCTCAAAAGTCAGAAGCAGATTTTATTAATAAATTAATAAGAAAAACTTATTTTTTTAATAGTATAATCTATCCCAAAAGTCAGACATACCATTTATTATTAAAAAATAAGTTTTTTTTTTATTTTTTAATAGTGCAATTCACCCTGAAAGTCAGAAATAGCTTTTATTATTAAAAAATAAGTTTTTCTTATTTTTTAATGATGCAATTTGTTCTGAAAGTTAAAAGTTACATTTATTATTAAAAAAATAAGAAAACCTTATTTTTTTAATATTGTAATTCATCCTGAAAGTCAGAGTTAGCTTTTATTATTAAAAAAATAAGAAAAACTTATTTTTTTAATAGTGCAATCTACCTGAAAGTCAGAAGTAGCTTTTATTATTAAAAAATAAGTTTTTCTTTTTTTAATAGTGTAATCCACCCTGAAAATTAGAGTCAGTTTTTATTATTAAAAAAAGTGACTTTTATTTATAGTTTATTAATATATAATTAGATCAATCAGTTAAAAAAAATTATGATATGATCACATTTCTAGTCATAATGCTAAATATTAAATCATTTATTTAAACTAATAAAACTTACTATTATGTAGCTCTTCAAGCCTTTGATCAGAATTCTTTAAGTCTAGAGATAAATCTTATAAAGAAAAAAATCTATTAAATTGATTTTATTAAAAAAATCCATAAAACTAATAAAACTTACCTTTTTGTAGTTTTTTAAGCTGATATTTCAAGTCTGAAGGTAAAGGGTGTATTAGAAATTAGCTAATTTAAAGGGAGATAAAAAGGTCAACCTTTAGATCAGGTGGGTATAATCAGGTATAATCAGGTGATATTCTTAATTTAATATTATTGGTTAGTTCAATTTAGCTAAAATTTTCTAAATCTGGCTGAAATTTAATATTAGTGAAGATTATATGTATTACAAAATCAAAAGTCACATTTTAAAATTACATGCTGATTAAAATTTTTTATTTTTATGATAGAATCATAATATGTAAGTATAATTTTATTAATAATTAGGTAATTATATTATCATATAAAACTAATATAAACCATAATTTTTTTTAATCTTCATCTGACTGAATTTTGCAAGATTCTCATTCAACTTGTTACTGATTTCTACTTTGAATTATATCTTCAGTAACATTAAAATTTGCATTTAATAGAATAAGCATACAATCTATTTCTATTTTGTTAGTTTATTTCTAAAGGCCTTTTGGCTTCTAATTGCGACGTTTAGAATGTATATTACACTTATGGTTACTTATAAACTTGAGGGTCAGAAAGTACTTATCACATATGTTATAACACAAATACTGTTTTAATTTTTGTGAAATTAAAGGTTAACAACTATCATATTTTAGAATTTTAATTCTATAGTAATACTGAAACAAAAAACAAATTTAAATTTTCAAATAATAAAATATCAAATAATATCAAAAAATTATTTTTAATAAATTTTGATACATAAAAATTTGTTATATCTTTATTAGTTTTATCAAATATATTTATAATCTCCTTTGATTAAAATATCTCCTATAGTATTGTATCCTTAAAAATTCAATAATTTTATATTGTATCTGGGATATCTTAATCAACCCTTTATGGTAAGTAATAGGTTTAATTAAACTCTTTATTTAATATTTAATTAATTAATAAAAAAATTACCTTATTAGTAATAATATATATTTATTTCTTTATATATTTATTTTATTCTAAATAATTAAAATATTTATTGAACTTTATAAAAAAACAAAATTAAAATAATAGAAATTTAAAGTTTATATATTATTTATTGCTATATTATTAATTAAATGTAAATAAAATATTGTATTAATCAATTATATAATCTTATTTAATTTAACTAATTAAATTATATATATTATAAATTATATAAATTTCAACTTATAAAAAAAATTTATTTTATTTAACTATTTTAAAATTTAATTAATTAATAATAGTTAAATAAATAAATAGAAACTTTAATTTTTTAATTTTAATAAAGTTTAGCTTATAAAAAAAAAATTAGAATTCAATATTAGTTTTAAAGAATATTATTTTAATTAAGTTTATTAAGGACAATTAAACAACAATTATGCTTATTACTAATTGATAATAATGATAATATATTTATGATTTTATAATTATCAAAAATTGTTAAATATTATTCTATCTCATAACAATATTGATCGTTAAATAAAATGAATTTAATATATTAAATTATTTAAATAATTCATTAATAAGATTGGTAACAGGATATAATTAATAATAAATAAATTATTAATTTTTATAATTTTTTTTTTTTTCTAGAGATTTATATGCATCATTTTCTTATAATTTTTAAAATATCAACATTTATTATTAGCAAGTCACATGAAAATTACTATTTGATTGAAATCCAAAGTTTCTATTATAGGGATTTCTGGTGTTTCATACATCACGTGTGTAGATGTTAACGAATTATCCCGTGAAAAAAATAATTATAAATGATATACTTTATTTACGATTAATCTTTTGTATTGTTGTTTCTTCATTAACGTTAATATAAATCCGATTTTTTTTTATTATCGCTTACCAAATATCTACACCAACACTAATTTAAAACCTTTTCTCATCCAATTCGTTTTGATCCAAAAAATAGATTCCAACAATTTAAAATTATTCTAAGCATTACAAATTTAATGTCCACAATTTAATAATAAAATCGTCCAATTGGCGAAACTTGTTCCACCATCTTTTAATAAAATAATTACAACTACATATTGTTGATTAAAATTAAAATGAACCAGAGTTGACCTTTTTTTTTTTTTAAAAAAAAAAATAAAATATATAAATAAATTGTCAAATTTAATACATTAAATAATCAATGAGTAAAAATCAATACCCAAAACCATATTTACCTTATCTTTCAAATGAGCTAACCATTGGGGATAGCTCATAACAGTGTCTGTGCGGTCTTCAATAATATGTGATAAAAACCACAACCGTAATGATGGATCACCATCTTCCTTGATTATATAAAGGTGAGGATAATAAACACCACGACGCATCTCCCTAGTTTTACCAATTATTGCATTCACTCGTTGTGAAAATACATTATCAAGCTGTGGTAGAGTAACCTTTATAAAATTCACAAGAGAGTTAATATGCAACATCTGTTTATGTAACTGTCGTGAATATTTGTAAATTATATACCTTTCCAGCACGAATTTCTTCATATGAACGAACATCTAATAAATCCATACATAATTGAGGCGACACTTGTTTGCCAATCCAAATGAATATATTTTGACTATCCTCTAATAAATATGCACCATGCCGTTCTAATTTTTCACTACTCAAGTTAAACGGCCTAGGCATTATTATACCCTCAGTTCCATACGTTCCAGCCTTAACAAAAAAATTAAGGTTATTTGATTATTCTTCTATATTATATAAAAACTTAAAAATATAAAAAATAACACTTACTTCTTGTGACATATTATGCAGTGAATAAAATCGTGGATGCAAATAAGGAATTAATAGCTGAGAAGGCATCGTTGTCAATAAACACATCGCGTATGAACGCAAATCTGTTGGAATTTGCGAACTTGCACGAAGACCAACCTATCAATTTATTTATTTATTTCTTTCTTTTAATTGCTACTATAATTATTTCAAGCAAATGCACAAATACATACATGTTTTAGCAGTCCAAGTGATAGCAGGGGTAATAATTTAAGATTATTACAAATTTGTAATTGAGGTGAAGCTCCAGATTGGGAACTTGTGAGGGCCGACTTGTATACACCAAGAATATCAATCATCTTGTTAGTTAATGCGTCTCGAGCATCCTCTAGTTTTGAGGATAACGATCGTTCAACAGCTAATTGAAGAACAATTCATTAATTAATATTAAAATAAATTTCCAAAATAGATTGTTAAATATTTATTGGCACACCTTTATTTGCTAATAATGTAGTTATCGCAACTTGATCAGCAGAAGCAAACAATTCACTAATGCTATTGGTTACCGGTAACGCAAGTGTAAGCACCCGAATTCTACGTTCACCTAGTAATTTGAAACTATTAATTATATATCTGGGGAAAAAAATTCACTTTATGCGAAATACTGAAATAATTTAACAAACCAAAACAAGTTGTGTGTAAAAGAGCAGTTTGGAAGCATACTGTTTGGGTTGTAATATTTTCCTCAATATCCACTTCAATTGTATACGAGTGATCCCTCGAGACATTAGGTAAAGCCAGAAGATCCGTTTGACGAACGAAAAAATTGCCATGAAAAGCAGACATACGTATGCCTATAGTAAACACGAAATAAAAATTGTAAAAAGGTAAATAAGAAGGAAAATTTCACTCATTAATTACCTTTCGAAGCTCGTACTCTCATAACAGCTTCTAATGCAATAGGACTCGCCAAAAATTCTGCAAATTCATGTGCGAATTTAAGTGCATCTTCTGATCTTCCTGCATTGAATGCTGGATAAAAATATGTTTGTCCCCCCGTGTATCGCGGACAGCAGCCTTGATTTTATAAGGATTATTTGTATATTTAAAATATGTTTATTATAAAATGAAGTCGTCTTTTCAGGAATAATGAGAAAGATACCTAGTGTAGCTACATCTGAATATTGCGAGCCAAGTAAAAACATATCCACACAGACTTGAGAACGGGAACAGTCAACTGCAAATTTTTTATAAAAAGGATCCGCAGATTGTAATAAAGAAGATTCCTATTAATAATAAATGCTAAATTTAAATATTAATATTCAACAAAATAATCACAATTAGTTAATCTAAATATTTACTTTAGGAGTACCCAACATCTTAGGATCATCACGCGCTTTTAGAGATCCGGGATTAATATTTGGTAAACTTGATTGCAATACTACAATCTTTCCTCCAATTGGGGACTAAGTATAATATTACGATAAAATTATAATGATGAGATATTTTGAAGAAAATCAAGAAAAATTAAATATAAATACAAACAATTAATTTGAAGCCAGCCAAAAGAGCAGAACCTAAAGCATTGCCAACGGTTTGAGTATCCTTGAACATATCGCCAAGACTTCCAAGCAAAGATTCAACGACTGTCCGAGCTTCCGTCAAATTTACCAATAAATCATCAGGTTGTGGAAGAAATACATCTTCAATATCGGACACAACAAGCATTTGTGGTACCGATGCATTAGACTGAAATCAATTTTTGTTAATAAATAAATGATCACATAATAAATGATATTTGCATGAAATTAACTTCAACAAACATTAAGGCTATAAAAGTGTAGCGAAGTGTCCACTGTAATGAAACCAATTTTGGTGCGGTTTTCTTCATTAGGTATTCGATCTAACGATTCCAGGATGGTTCTAGCGGCCGTTGCAACGACACCTATTATTTACCAAAAGAAAAAATATATATATAAATGTATAAATAGATAAATAAATAATAATTAAGTTTCTATCTAAAGTTATACGTGGAAAAGTATTTATTGGGTTTATTCGTAACTTAATTTGAGGTTCAAATTGATAGTCCGTGTAAATAAATTAATAGATAATACGTAATCTTCAAGTTCCAACTCACACATATGGTAAATGTTGGAAGAGTAAGAGTTTTAAATAATATATGAAATTCCCGACCCTACCTCCCGTTAAGAATTAAATTAATTAACATCAACCAAATCAAACTAAATTACAAACCACCCAAATGAATTTCCGAACATGTTAAGAAAATTAACCCAAATAAATACGTAATAAGCTCAATTATATTGACACTTACCGGATTGTACTGCAGGATATGAAACATCTATAACAAATAAATACACTGGAGGTTGAGGTGGACGTACCTTAAAAAATGGTTATTAAGGTCATTATCTCATAAAAAAAAATATTATATTTATATATTTTATATTAAAAAATAACTAAATAAATTTGCTAGAGCATACCATATACTCAGTTGGCGCCACAAATTCGACAACAGCATGATTTAATTCAGCACGTTTCCATCTGTCAGCCTGTTTATTTGTCTGTATATCCCAATCAAATTGTTGTGGAACTTGTATCGTAATAATGATTCAATATAATTTTAATAATTAATATGAATAAACGATATAAATTATCAGTATAAGGATACTTACCTTCATTTAACAGAAAACACATGTTACATTTCCATTTTTGTCCACCTTCTGCAAAGGTCACGAACGGATTAATATAAGTCCTACATCTACGACATCTTGCTATGACAGTATCCGTGACAACTGGAACTGGATCCTATAAAAAGGAATATAAAAATATATTTTAAATTAAAATATTATCTTAAAATAGTATACTAAAAACTAATCACTTACGTCGCCCTCTTTCAAACTTCTATATGGAGTAATAACCAAACCAAGGGGAAGACGAGATTTAGATAGAAGTGAAGATGTGGCGGGAATGGTATTGAGAGTTGATCGTTTGTAGGATGGATCACAATTCGCTTTGTCCGAAGGAGTTACAGACGTCTTAAATCAGAAGAAGGTGGTGAACATAATGTTCAACACCACCTGTTGCTATATCGACTTTTTGAGGGAAATCATTATTTGTGTGTATTGTATAATAATGACTTACATTAAGTGGCAAATTAATTGTAGGTGGTGGAGCATCCAGATCCATGATATTTGGTGGTATACCAATAAGATGAGTTGGAACTAATTGTGACTTTTTTTTTTTAAAAAAAAAAATAGACAAGATTAAAACAAATCTAATCGATAAATATCACGAAAGTTAAACAAGCGTACCTGAGAAGGTCCTCCAAGACCCATATTACTGAACTGATTCGTCATCCCAGCCATTGATGAAGGTTGTTGTGGCTGCGAAAATTGTTGACCATATTGTGTAGGTGCTGCCGTCGTGGATGCATAATTTTGATCTCCTGCGGGGGTAAAGAATTGAGATGGTTGTTGTTGAATTGAAGGTTGTAATTGTTGCGAACCAGTTATCCCAGCAGTTACAGCTGGTGTAAATGTAGGATACTGTTCATATGAGGTTTCCGTATAAGCTTCATTGATTTGTTTAGGATATAAACGCTTCGGTTTATGTGCCCCAATCGGTGGCGATGTTCCAGTTGGCGACACTGGACTCTCGACTGGAGGTGGAGAATTCGACTGCATTATTTGATAGTTAGCACTTGTAGTCTGCTGAACTGGATAAGAAGGTGGACGTCCCTGTTGTATTTGTCCAGGCCTATAACTTGGTGATACTGAAGGCCTTATTCCTGGTGGAAAGCCAGCCGGAGAAACGCCAGAATGGGGAATATTACTCGATGGACGAAAACCAGTAGGTAATGGTGGCGAAGGACTAACCCCTGGTGGAGGCGGTCGCGTTTGAGGGTTAGGTAGACCGGGAGGACCGAGAGGTGTATAAGGGCGCCCAAAAGGTGATAATGGTTGATTGCTGTAACGAGGATCTGTAACAGGTCTTTGATTTGGAGAAACCCCACCAGGAACAGGAGGATGTGGACGATAAGGAGAAGGTCCTCTTTGTACTGGTTGACTGGGATCATTATTCTGCATTGGACGAAAATTTGGGGATGGAGGACGGTTATAAGGAGTTTGTTGGGTTGGTAGATTAGCCATTGTTCTTTTTTTTTTTGTTTTAGATTCTACGACATATGCAAGTAAAAAATATTTTGGTTATCATTCAATTAACTTTTGTCACAAAATTAAAAAATGCTGGCAGGTTAAAATCTGTTTCTAGGTATAATTGCAATAACAATTAAGTATTCAATTATATGTATTTTCTTGAAATTGATAATTTTTTTTTTTCATCAATCCCACCTATCATAATCGTACAAGTGGCATCTACACCAAAATAATACGTGTTTGTCAAACTTAAAACTTATGGTGATACAGATCTGATTTAAAGGTAATTTTTTTTATTTTTTTATTTTTCGGTTATCAATTATTATTTACTTATAATTTGAAATTTAAATGAAGGTAAATAAGATAATAATGAACTAATGAACCGGTAGTCAAAACTCTATATTAGCAATACATAAAGTACAATATTAGAGAGTGAATAATTAATCAATAATTGTAGTAGTATGATTTTTTTTTTTTTTTATGGTTTTTATATTTTCTTAATAATTATGATTTCTGTGCATCGAAATCTAAAACTTCCATTACAGTTTTTCCTTCCCTTTGTAATAAAACAACAGCTTTTGTTTCTTGGAATGCCAATCGCCAAACAGCATTCCCTGCAGTTGTCATTTCTCTAATAAAGTCACCAGTTTCAAGATCCCATAATTTGACATGTCCATCATTACCACCCGAAACAATCCGTTTTTTGTCAAATTGTAAACATGTAACTGAATTATCGTGAGCTGCAATATGCTTAACACAACGGTTTGTATCTAAATCCCAAATTCGAATTGCTCCATCACTACCCCCGGTGACAAGTATTGATTCATAAAATTGTAATTGCCCAACAAGTGATGTATGTCCTTGTAAAACTCCTAGACAAAAACCTGTTTGACGTGACCAAACACGTGCAGTAGAATCAAGAGATCTATCAAAAAAAATTTGATGTTTATATTTGGATTTTAAATTAAAAAAAAATTATTATGTTAATACATACCCAGTGACGATCTTTTCTCCATCAAAAGCTATGGAATAAATCTGTGAATAGTGTCCTTGAAGGACATGTAAACATTCACCGGTTACGATATCCCAAACCTACATACACACAAAATAAATTAGAACCTTTTTTTGATGTTTAAAAATGTCCAAGAAAAAATTAACCATATTTACACGAGCCGTGCAGTCGTAACTTCCAGAAACAATGATATCTCCGCATATTTCCATGCATCGCACACTCGCTTGATGTCCAGCAAGCGAGTGAAGCAATCGACCTTCTTTAATATTCCAAACACGCAGGGTTGCATCACGAGAACCGCTAACAGCAATTGTCTTGTCTTTCATTTTTAATGAGCGCACGGTTGATGTATGACCATGAAGAATATGTTTGCATTCAGCTGTATCGATATCCCAAACTCGTACTTCTCTATAACGGAAAAAATAATTTTTTTTTTTGATTAGATATTACGAAATAATATGTAATTTTAAATTATTATTTAATACCTGTCACACCCTCCAGAGACTAACACTTCGTCAATATATTGCAATGCCCATACACCTCCTTCATGACCTGATAAAGTCTTTATGTATTTTCCATCAGATACGTCAAATATGTGAATTTTTTTATTATCCATTCCCACAATTATATAATTTTGACACATTTGCAATGATGTAACAACTCCAATATCAGGACTTATATGTGTAATAAGAGTTCTCCCCCCATGTTTCCAATTAGATTCAACAATATATCGCCTTCGAAAATGATCTTTGTACGAAAATTTGTTGTTTCCAGAAGAGGAAGTTTCACTTGTTGGGGAGGGTGGTAACTCGGGTGCAGCAGAACTTCGTCTTCTAAAATGATGGCGTACACAGAGATTTTTCCAAGTGAACTCGTCATTTAACAAAGACCGCCAGAATTTAGAAACACTTGATGCTCTCGAAAGTGTTTTTGGATCATTTATAAATGATAAAATATGCAGGCTAAGTTCTATTGGAAGGTCCTTAAGAAAGTCACGTTTCAAACGTGGTGATATATAATTAGACACGAAAACAAGTTGTTCAGTATTGCAAGTGTTTAAAAGTTCAGCAAGGAGACGTTGTCTCTGTAAATTGTCCATGTTCTGAAACCCCATTCTGACTGTTCGGCTAAACTCCTCTTGAGCTGAAGGTGGAAATCCTTCAGCATTTACAGGCGGAAAGAGTTGTGGTGAAGGAGCGGGTGTAGGTAAGCTGTGAAAGTTTGTCGTAGTGACCCAAGGTATTTCAGGCGGAGTAGGGCGTTGCATTATTGGTAGGGTTTGTTTATCCTGACTATTACTTGGTCCTAGCAAATTATCTTTCTCTTTAGGCATCAGTTTGCGTTATTCTTTACAGTATGATCTTTAGTACGACTATAAATGCAAATTTAAGATGAAATTCAGTTCGGGAGAGTTAAGCTTTGAGACAGAAGTGGGAGTTATAGAGGAAGAAATAGTAAAAATTCTGCAGGTAGATAAAATATTCTCCTTATTAGTTTTCTTTTTATATAAATAAACATACATTAAAAAGATATAAAGAACTCAGTTATATAATGAACGAATGATTTTTTCGTAACATACAATTATGGAACTTACTGCGGCATTTGTAAATTTCACGTGATTTATCCGTTATTATCATTGTAACCTTAAAGCCTGTAACAAAGGACCTTTTTTTTTTACAAGGTCGGTTACTTTCATTTCTTTTTGGGGGAATTTTCGAAACTTTCTTTCAAACTTTTTTTGTCGCATAATTTAAGGTGATTTCCAATTGGTATTTTTGAATGTTACTTTGTTTGCTTAAATAAAATAAAGAAAAAAAAATAGTTCGAGAAATTAAAACTCGCTTGGTTTGCAAAACCCTTTTTATATGGAAAGAAAATTGTCTGGCTAAATGTAGTACAGGAAATTATATAAGGTGGTATCTGAATTTTTGCCACCCATAAATCGAATATTATTGGTTAATAAATTCTGTTTGTAATTTAATTTTTATTAATAAGTGCGCGTTTTAAAAAATTTTGATTGTTCGAATCTTTGAACAAAAAATTTTATTGAATATAAATAAATCTCTGAAACGATAAAATTTTAATTGAAATAATTAGAATTGCATTATCTATAAATCTTAGTTCTTTCTATAATATATATATTTTTTTAATAGGATAAATTTAAAAAGATTATATATATTATATTTTAATTAAAAAGTATTATCATAAAAAAAATTAACATAAAATAAGTAAGACTAATTTACTAACAAAAGTCCTATGGAAACTGTCAAACTTTACTTTATATGTATGGCAAATATAATTTTCAGATCGAAATATGAATATGTTCAGATTTAGCATTATCTCATTTTTTACTAAATAATCTCAAAATGGCATAAATATTTCATAAAAATATTTGTCAATTTTGCTATATACTTAAAATATTAGAACAGAATTAAATGTATCAATCTTAATATATGTTTATTTTAGTAAAATCTAATAAAAAATTAAATAAAATGTAATATCCAAAAAAAAAATTAATAATTAAATAATATATTTATAATATATATTTATAACAAATATTAATATTATAAATTAATATTAAAATAAAAGAAATTATTTATATTAATTTATAAATAAATGAATATTTTTAATAAATTATTTATTAAATATTATTTAATATACTAATATTTTTATAAAATTTTTTATTATATTATATTTTATTTATTATTTAAAGTTTTAATTTATAACTAACTAATAATAATATTAGATAATATAATATATGATATCAGCATAAGAATTTTATTTACATTTTTTATGTAATAATAATTTATATTATTGAATTTAAATCCTCTATTTATTTATTAAATACTTAATTAATATTACCTATGATACAAAATAGATATCTTTGAAGTTTCTGATTTTAGAAATTTTGCATTTTATAGATATTTCAAAAAGCTTAACTTTTTAAACTATATAAATTTCTATTTTATTTATAATTTCTTTATAAAATAATAGAAAAATTATAACAAATAAACTAAAATATGTAGTATAATATAAAATATCACATCAAATACTAAATAAAAAACACAAATAAAAAATAAAGTTTATATTTAATATTGATTCCTTTATTAAATTTTAGTTCATCATTAATAATAGTAAAGCTATTAATATTTTTAAAACTGCTACCACTGGTCGAAATGGGTACAAATCAGCTAAAAATCAGACTGACGATTGATGGATGATTGATGACTGATTTAGGGCTGATTTACATTAATTCTGATTGACACAATATGAATCAATCAAAAATATCAATCGGTCATCAATCACTATCAATTGTCTATCCAAAATTTGCCTAAAACAAGCCATCAATCATCTATCAATCGTCCGTCTGATTTTTAGCCGAAAATTTATTACATTTATTTCATTTTACAATTTTGGAAAATAATATTTTTTTATTAATTTTATTAATTTTATTCATTATGCGACAAGCAAATAGAAAATAATACTAAAATAAGCAAATTACTAAAAAAAAAGAAGAAATCGTCATCGTAATCGATAAATCATCATCGTCGTCATCGTGGTTATCCAATCGCCTCCAATTTAAAACAAAAAACTAGCAAATAAACAAAAAATAAAATAAATTGTCCCACTCGCCCTCCTATTTATAAAAAAAGAACAAAATGCAAAAAAAACAAATAAAAAAACTTAAAATGTATTATAAAAAAATAAGAACAAAATACGAAAAAAAAGCAAAAAAAAAAAACTTAAAATATCCACCTGCTCTCCCATTTATAAAATAAACAAATAAAAATAAGCAAAAGAAAAAAAATATCAAAAATCGTCGCGTCGTCATCGAATCTACCATCTCGAGATGGTTATCACCATTAATCATCCATCTCGAGATGGTCAGAATCATATTGTTCATTATTACCGGCCGCTGATATTTGTTCCCTTTCGACTTTGACAAGTTCTTTGTTATCTGTAACATATTCTTCTTCACCCGATTTTTTGATGTCAGTGTCAAAGAATATATTCAGTTATTCGATTCGAGACCATTCGGGGACGTTCAAAGGATTTGGTCAGTCAAAATGCTACACCTGGTCATTGTATATTCGATTTCATTATGCTTTTGCTGAAATGACCGAGGTTGCAGTATTTTGGTCAAGTACACTACGAAGGAGATTTTTTAGCTGAAATTAAAGATGCCAGCCGAAACTCCCTCAAAATAATTTCGTCATATCCCTTACTATATTTTTAATATAGTTTCGGCTAATTTTGGATTTCAGGGTTTCGTCATACCCCTCACTCAGTGTTGTCATGGGACATTTTTGGGACATGGCCTGGGACATTGGGACTTAATGTGGGACATTTTGGAACATAGTGTGGGACAGTCTCAAAATGTTTGGGACATCGAAAATGTACATCACTGCCCTCACTATGTTTTAATATAGTTTCGGCTGTTTATTAATTGCCTTTTTTGAGTTTCGTCCCTCATCTTTAGCTGAAATAATAAAAAAATGTTTAGTAATTTACTAAAATTTATAAATGATATTTTTTTTAAAAAAAAATAGTAAACCTTGACCAATTGCCACAAGAGATCATATACAGCGATAATAGACTTTCATTCTGGATCATCTTCATCTGTCTCGCTTATTTCAGGAGAATAGTATAGGCGATCAGCAAGCATTTTCAATAAAGACCACTTTTCGTATTTCGTAATTCATCTGTCATTGTTCGCAAATAATCATTTAGTGATCCTTACTTGTCGTAATTTTTTCTAGAAATAATAAATTAAAAATTAAATAAACTTAATAGATCAAAATTCAGATTAAAATTGGAATTCACTAACTTCGTGTATTCGACCATTTGTGTGTAGTCATTGTTATTCCATGATGGTCTTTCACTTTACTTGTATCATCGAGTTGATCGTTGAGATTTATAGAGGCTTCGAAGCCAGATTGTCAATTGGTCAATAGAAGATCAAAAATTCGGAACCAAGACCTTTCATAATTCTGGGATTAGACTCAGTCACTTTTCGATATTTTTTTGCTATTAAAAGTTTCATCATAGTCTAAATCCCGTTTTGAATCAATAGTTTTTAAAATCACTTTTATTTCAGCTTAAATATAAAAATCAGAAAAAAAATCAGTTTTTAATTTAGAATATCAAAACAATCAACAAAATTTAAATATACCCTGGCTCCTTTCACATTAGACTCTTTTACTGACGAATTGCTGTTGTCCTCAGAGACGATTTTGTCAATTTGTAATCCATCTCATCATCAGTATAACAGACTGGCTTCTTGCCTTTTACTTTTCATCGTTTAGCAGAAGGCTTGTCACTAGAACTGTCTTTCAGCTATCTTATCAATTTGGACAGCCGAATTTTCACAAATCGATCGAGCCTGAAATATCAAAAAAAAAAAGAGGTAAGAAAATTATTAAAATAAATATTCTCAAATAAAATTTTACCTTTCCTGCAAATCGTCATTTTTTCTGCTGAATTCATCGTTAATTTCGGTAAGGAATTGGTTTTCAGATTCTAGTCATTATTTTCACAGGACAGATCAGAATTTTTTCGCTTGAGTTGCTCAATCATTTTGTGAAAATCGTCGAGTTGCTCCTTTAGCTTTCGATTTTCTATATAAGAATATAAGAAATACATTGTTAGATTACTATATTTATTAATTAGAGAATGAGACAAATTGATATCAGTTTGTAAATCATCGGATGTGTTGATAGTAAAGATGAGAACTGTAATTAATATGTTGTAACTTTAAATGTTGCAACTTACATTGCAATTAGTTTTAACCTATATATGTTGCAACTTATAATGTTGCAACATATGTTGCAACTAATTTTAGCTTATGTTGCAACATTTTGTAAATTTGAAATCAATTGCTGTATCATCTTTAGTTGGAATTCGTTGTACATTTTTTTTAGATGACATCTGTCAGATTAGATTTAGTATTTACCCAAATATATATCTAATCAAATTCATTAACATAAATGATATATATAATGGGGTTAGAAAGTATGTCGTCGAAAGGAAATACCAGTATGTTCGCAAAATGGATATAAAAATATTTTTGCTTTATATGCTGAAAGTTATTTTTTTTAAAAAAAAAAATGACAAGAGTCGAAGTTATTGCCAATGATTGTACAACGCCTTCATATCGTATGTAGATCATTATGTGATCTGAATCTTTATCCTGATTAGCTAATTATAGAGGTGAGATATTTGAGACCCCCCTCCCCCCCTCCAATAATCACGTCATATATGTAAGTCCCCTTATAATTTAAATTTATTTTTTATACTAATAAATTATTGCAAAATTAAGCGTAAAAAATATTG